TGTCAAAATCGACCCAAATCATAGTGTGAAGGCATAAAATAGGAACAGTATGTAAGGGTTAAATCAGAATCAGAATCAAATTTATTGCCAGGTGTAGTTCACACAATACGAGGAATTTCTTCTGGTGCAACAAAACAACAATAAATAGAGTACACAATAAATATACAATAAAGTGACTAAAAACAAAAATAACTAATAGTGCAAAGAATCAAAGTTAAATTTAAATAAGAACCATAGAACGGTAGTGCTAATAAAAATTAAAACATAGTGGAGTGAACGTAGTATAAAATGGAAAAACTCCAGTACAAGTATCTCAAATTTCTACTTATTTACTTTGCACTACTAGCTTCAATGATGACTTTATTATTACAAGACCTGGTTTTAGTTTCATTTTTGTAATTAAAGGTGCTTCCCGATCAGCTTCACTTCTGCTCAGCCAACGCCCACGTCCAAAGAAGTGAGCGTCTAATTCAGCCTTATTTGACAACTGCATTTGGCATAAATGCCGTACATCCCTCTCAGTGGAGCGTCAGCCCTCATAAACTAAAACATGACTTCTCAGAGTCATGTGTAACATATTTAACATGGTAAACCAGTAGGTGGTGTAGCCACTGGTGACGATCACACGCTCTGTTTAATGTCTGTTTATCTGTGATCGTATCTGTACTATTTGTGGTTCACATTGCCGATATTAATCCAGAAAGGCTCAAGAGTGTAATGTAAATGACAAAAATGATGTTCACACGCAGCGCTGAGCAGGAAAAACAAGTCTGTCCTCTTTGCATAACAAATGCCACTTCAGACGTAATATGGCTTTAAGTTGTGTATTACTTATTCATTTGATTAGTCCCACCTTGTTCGTTTTACTCTTATTTTTTGCAAATAACCTGAATTATTCTGCTTCACTGAGCAAAACACTGAGTGTGTAATAAATGTCCCAGGTGTGCCTGAAAAAACTGAATTAAAGTCAACTGATGTATATTATTTTTGATGGTATATGTCATTAGCATATTGCTTATCTGTTTAATTAAGCCTCTGCCAGGGATTTAAATTAGATATATGAACCAAAGAGAGGTGTCAATGGTATTGTTTCTGATTTCTGAAATAATGCAGTTAAATCAGAAACATTAAGTGCTGCGATCAATATCATATACAACGATGAAGTGTTGGAGTAAATCCTAATAAACACATTCACAAGTTTGAGACTGAATGACATGCAAAAAAAAAGTCACATTACAGCGGTTGTGACAGATATTATGATTGCTTTGTTAGTCCTGATTTGAGTGGAAATGATACATTTTGTTTCCCACCCAATGAAAAAATAAAAAATGATGACATGATTTCTACTTCAGTCTGGATCAAACACTATGTGTCCTTATGTTCTGAGAATATAATTTGTGGTCCGGAGCGTCTCTGTAGCGCCACGATGCTTCGTTTGTAATTACATGTTGTGGCAGTTTAACCTTTATTAAATAATTGCAGCTTCTGTGATTTTTGGTATGTGTGATTTTTCAGCCGTAGTTTATACTGAGGTGAAAAGAAAAAAATAGTAAATGTGTAGAAAAAAATTGAAGATACACCTTTTCAGTCGTGTGTAAATGTCATAACGTGGTGTATCGTAACAAAACTCAGTATTAGCCGCACTTAGGAGGTAGGTTGGGTTGAAGAAAAATGAAAAAATATTTAGTGCTTGGTAACTTATTCATGCTTTTATCTCCTGCAGACTTGTGGAGCTGCTTTCTAGCCCTCTAAAGACATCTTCTAACAAACTCGAATGCAGCATAACGTCCTCTCACCAACACTAAAAGTAGAGAGCACATTCCTCCAGATTAAAGCCTCTGTATTGGCTCTTTCTTCTTTTTAGGATTTAGCTTTTAGTTCTTAAGTCTCCTGACTGTTTATCTGATATGTTGGTTAGGCATGCTCCCCATAAATCCTGACATCCTCCGACTCTGGTCTCTTAAATGTTGAACCCAGACGTGTGGAGATGCTGTGTTGTGTCATCGGCCCTCAACCTCTGGAATAAATTTCCAGACGTCAGAACATCTGATTCAGTAGATAGCATCAAAAAAATCTATTAAACTTGATCTGTTTAGGCCTATGTTTAGTCAGTCATTTTCCTAGTAAAATCCCTATTTATTACTCCTTATATGGACTCTTGCATTTTATTGTCTAGTATTTTATTACTCTTATTTTTAGCCTCGTTTTTAGTGTAAAGCACTGTGAGCTGCACTTGCCCTATACAAATAAAGTTTAAATAAAAGGGTAAATACCTTATGGGGTCAGGAAGAAGGCTGGGGGGCTGTTTTTCAGTTGGTTAACTGCTTGTTAATTAAACTATAATATACAACCCCTATAAAAATTACAGGATAACATGAATTTACAGCCTAAAAAAAAAAAAAAAACAACCCCTGAGTGTTGCAGCCTTTTTTATTCACAGCTGTGTGGTGACCACAGACAAAGTGTGCTGTCATGTATTTCCCTTTACAACCTTTCCTTGGTGCTCGATCTTGCATCATTGCCGTTTCAATTGCTGTAACTCACGGAGGGTTTTTCATTCATTAAGCTGCATTCCCCCCTTCTTCTTCCAAAACCCTTCCCCCATTTTACTGCCTGGCAGTATTTGGAAGAGAGAAATGGACGACTTCCCCACCAGAGAGAGTGGGTGTGTTAAGTTAGACATCTTGTTGCACAATAACGACACGGTAACGACGAGCTAAAAAGCGACGAGAATTTAAAAACCCTCTAAGCTAGCTAGCTAGCAAGCTAGCCGCGTTGTTTTTGAGGAAAAAAATAAGAAGCTAGCTGTAATGGTCGGGCTGTAAATCCCTCGCAAACGCGGGGAGCTATATTCTACATCCGCAGCTAGAAATATAGACGAGCTACGTTGCGTGAACCCGAAGCAAATTTTAAACTACACAATTTAAAATTGTGAGTGATAAAATGTGATAAATATGAGGTAGCTACGGAGTTACAGCCATTCTGCAGCAATGTGTCCTCTCCTTTAGCAGGCTGCCATTTCTACCTCCCCTCAGCGGTGGCGCGCCGCCTGTATTCCTCCGCAGTTTTTTTTTTTTTTTTTCCTTTTTGAGGGGGAGGGGGATTTGAAGAAACGCGGCTCGACGGGGAAACGACCGCGATTAAAATTCACCGCGACTCCCGGTGAGTGCGTTCCCACCGCAGCGGCTCGTGTTTTACCGGCGGCGGGGACGGCGTTTGGCGGGGTAACGGTCGCACGGGCGCGGCGCTAGTTGTCGCCGGGGCGGAGGACTACTCGGACGCGGGGGCCGGGACTCAGTGCGAGCGGAGCTGAATGGAGGCAGCCTCTTCCTGGTGGATAAACAGTGACAGCTACAGGGCAGCCACCTAGACCCAGCACACAGGCTCTGGCGCTGCCCTGGCAAACAACAACCAAAATGGCTTCAGACAGTACACACATCGCGCAGTTGACTTCTGGTGAGTAAAAAGGGTTCGGAAAATGTGTCATGGTTGTTGTAATATCCCCCCCACCAATTTCCTCGGTGCCCTCTTCTAACGCAGCTCCCGTCCTCTTCTCCCCCTCCAACCATACCAGAACTGTACTTCCTAATAGCCCGATTTCTAGAAGCTGGACCGTGTCAGAAAGCAGCCGAGGTTGGTGTTTATGCATTTTAGGTGAATTTATAACATGTCCGAGATTGTCACGAGGTGTAATTTTTGTATTTTTATGCCGTTTTCAGACCCTGATAAGGGAGGTGGAGGAGAAGGAGGTAAGCAGTCAGCAGTACGAGAGAGATGCTTCTCTCCGCACTGTACTTTGTCATGTTGCTTTTACTCTTGTTTTATCATTTAGCCTTTTAAAACATCACTGTGCGCATTTATGCACCGGATGATCACAGTCGACACTATTTTTCCATCTCAGCTGCTGCCCAAAAGGCTGGACTGGACGGGGCAGGAACACCCCGGGACGTACGAAAATTTGGTAAGGGAGCTCTATAACTGAGGAAAAAGTTTTTAGAGAGCAAAATAAAAATTGAATTTCCCGCAATTTTTAAATCAGGTGGTGGAGGAAAAAAAAAAAAAGAAGCACTTTGCAGGGCGACTAGGTTGCAGATTTTTTTTTTTCCCACCCCCTCTCTCTTTGCAAAGCACCGAAAGGGACTCGGGTCCCAACCTCCTTGTGCGCCAGTGCCGTGCCGAGCTTTGGTGCCATGCATGTCCGAAAGGTTGTAATAGTTGTTGGGAAAAAATGTGTGTGAAATGTTGATACGTCATGAGTGTTGTGGTGTAGGAGCGCCAGGATCCGGAGGAGGGACTCCCTGCGCCACAAGCCAGAGAGAGATGGAGGCGCTCTTGTCCTGCAAAGAAACCATAATTTGTGTGCATGGGTTGAAAACACACAGGGGGCAAGAGTTAGAAAACAGGACTTTTTTTTTTTTTTTTTGGGAAGAATATAAACAGTATGTTCAGTAAAGCTTTATGGCTCCCATTTTTTTTTTGTTTTGGGGCTTTTTTTTTTTTTTGGAGAGCAGTTTTATTTAGAAAGTGTGGCGCAAGCTCGGATGGAAGAGATGTGAAGGTAATGTAGAGTTGATATCTTTTAATCTATTAATTGGAGCGCTAATTGTCATGTAAACAAACAGGGGGGCTTGCCTGGAAGCGACGTTTTTTTTTTTTTTTTTTACGCATGGGGGCGTGGAGAGAATCCATCATCGCGTACATTTTTTTTTATTTCTTAGCCAGATTGCTGGAAGTGTGCGTTTTCGTTTTTTTTAATATTATTTTGCTGGCTATTTTATGAGTTTAATTTTAAAATTAATAGAAAAATAATGACCTATGGCCTATTCAATCCGGAAAAACCTGTGCGCATTCCCCCTCCTCGTATCCAAAACACAGACGGATGAACACCCAAGACGCATGAAGTGCAGCTTGGGCAGCATGTAAATCCATACGTTTAAGAAATTATTGACAGCGTCTTTCTGCCTGCCTGCCTGTGTGTGTGTTTTTTTTTTCGCTCTTCCTGCTTGGCTCACTGGGCTCTCCGTTCCTCCTCCTCCTCCCATCCCCAGCCGTTCAGACTGCCTCCTGTCTATTGTGCATAATTTCCCGTATTAAAAAAAAAAAAAAAAATACTGCGGAGGGGTTTTAATTATTAGACCAAATGGAGGAAGGAAAAAAAAAAAAAGAAAAGAAGAGGGGAGTTGTAGGAAAGCAGACGGATCTCGTTTGGATGTGTTTTGTCAGTGGATGTCTGGTGCTTGCTCGCTGAAGGGGGTTGGGCAACAATGAGGAATCAAATGATATTGTAATAATTAACAATATTAATTGTGGGCTAATTAATTACGCCGGATTAATTAGATGTGTGATTATTTTCATTTTGCATTGACTGATCAGGAGCACAATGCACTATTAAAATATGGAATGAAAATTTAAAAAAATCCTGTCATCATTATGACAATAAATGCATTTAAACCAAATTAATAATTAATAATTTTGAAATTTCAACACAAGGGTGCGTTTTAATTAGCACAAATCCTTATTGGAGGCTGCCATATTTTCGGTGAAAGATGTTTAGGGGTTTTATTTTGAGCAAGGTGATATGAAGACAGAGGGTAACTCGCAGTGGTGTGAAGGACCATGTGCTTTGTGGTGGCCGGAGCGGTGTGTGTGTGAGCAAAATGGAGCAAATTGTTATTGCACATCACTCAGTTATTGTGTGCGTCGTCGTACCTGAGAGGAGCTGATGTGTGCTTAGAAACACCGATCACGTCTCTGAACCGGCGAGGATGTTGAAAGCAATTAAGGGGTCATTAATTGTGTGTGTGTGTGTGACAGAGACAGAGAATAAGTATTAGTGTGTCAGATAAAGGAATGGACAAAACGTGTGTGTGTGTGTGTGTGTGTGTGAGGGAAATAATTGTTTAATTTCAGGCTGATTTGACCCCCCGTTCAGATATTTAAATCGGATGTGTCTGAAACAAAGCTGATTACCGCATGTCTGATGGAAATTAATACATTTCAAACAATGCTGCTTCCTGAAACAAACACCCTGCTGCATGCTGCATTTTTTTTTTGGTCTTTTTCTTTCATCCTGTGGCGGATCGCATGCTCTTCCAGTCATTCATGCGTGCGCGTTTCTTCAGAAGTAGGCCATGCAGGAGTGTCCCCATGTGTCAGAGGAATGAGAGGCGCTCTGTGTTTATAGCAGTGTGCGTTTCATTCTGCTTCATGCTTATGTTGCATGCCACGCCCCCCCCTCGTTCTCTGCTGCTGCTGCTGCTGCTGCTGTAGTCACTGAAATAATCCAAATATGCATCTCATTTTACTGCAGATTGCATCTTCATTAAGTGACGTGAATATTAATTTTAATTCATATTTTTTTTGTCAGAATGTAGAGACAGAATGCTTGTTGTGTGTTTGAAATGCTTGCAGTTTGACTGGATGCATTCATGACAACTTGTGTTTATTAGTCTTGCTCCGTTTACTTCTATGGAAATACAATTATTAGAAGTATTAAAAGGGACATATAAATTCTCAGCAAGCGCTTAATAAACCAACGGGCATTTGTGGTAGTGTTCTTGTGTTTTTTGGTTCTTTTAATTTTGCTAATAATATTTTTTTTTCTTGTGTTGGCTTATGAGCTTAAAACTAAAGGGACTGGAGGCAGAAAACAAACCCTTTATTTCCCCCAGGTCATAGTTGCTTGTAAATTCCATGCTATTTTAGGAAAATGTTTTTACCTCCAGAAGTGTCTCATCTCTTTTAACATTTTCAAATTTAGTGTGATAATCTTTATCTTTAAAGGGAAATATTCTTTTCTCCTGCAGACTGAGCAGCATAAAAACAGTAGAGCTAGTAGGAGTTTGACTTGAACACGTTTCTTTTTAAACTGTACCACCTCACTCTTTATAATTTGCCCGACTCCATACCTAACTAAGTGTATTCCTGCGTCCAGGTGAAGCTCTACAGGCACATCACTCCAGACCACCTGCTGCAGGTCTGCTCCAGAGTTTGCCCGCTGCTGGAGGGGGAGGTCCCAGCCAGCGTGCCTGGACTCACCAGCCTGCTGGGGGCCGGCAGGCAGAATCTCCTCCGCACCAGCAAGAGTGAGTGGACGTATGGCACACGTGCGCACGAGCTGCTTTACTCTGCACACATGCAAACACACCCACTCAGGCAGCTGTTACGTCACACCGCATGCATGTGTAGACTGACCGAACGTGTGTAAATGCAATAGCTCAGGAGCTTCTGCAAATAGATGCGTACAGATCCATGCATGAAGAAATGTACCTGAATGATGTGTGTTTATGCGTTTGAATTTATTTGCTTTGACAGGGTTGATGCCGTTTAACTTAGAGAGCATGATGTGCTTGAGCTTAAAGCAGCTCTCTACACAGTATGATTAAAATACTCATGTTTCATTCTCATAAAACCACAGTACTCTACAGACACAAGAGTACAATGAAATATTTATAGTATAAGGGGGGAAAAGAAAGCTAAAAATGACTCCTTTTGCCAGGCCTAAATCTTGGTTGTGAAAGATTTTACATTCAGGTTTCAGTCAGTAATGTGTTCCAGAGCGGACAACCCTTTATGGAGGGCTTGTTCTGTTACTGTCTTGTCTATGGAGATGTGTACAAACAGGCTTTGGCGCTAAACTGTTGATGCATTTAAAGACTGATTGGACAAAAAAAAAAAAAAATCTGTCATAGCTATGTAAATTGTACCTTTTCAGGATGAGACGGTGATGCCACCGGACAAGCTTTTTGTCCGTTACTGTCAGAGCCTGATTGCATAAGGATGTAAGGTGTCTGAATGTTGATTGTGATGCTTGAGCCCGAGCTGTCATACAATAAGAAAAATGACAGAAAATCACAGAGTGCGTAAATGACTGGGCTGCCTGAGTGGGTCTGTAGTGCCTGATTAATCTGGAACAATTACGGTTGAACTTCTTCACATGTTTATCGAATTGGGATGTAAGAACTTGAAGTCGCTTACCTCCAGTGTTGTGTCAGTCTGTATCTCGGAGATTTTCTAACAGAGGAGCACGCATTCAGATTCAAACTCAGACTTGCATTGTGTTGTTTTCTTTCAGGCTGCAAGCATGTTGTGTGGAAGGGTTCGGCGCTGGCCGCGCTACATTGTGGACGACCACCGGAGCCGCCTATTATCTACGGGAGCCCACCGAATATTGGTAAAGAAGACGCTTGAGTTTTGCAAAAGAAAATGTATTTTTTTTAAAATCTTTGTTTGTGCCTTTTATATCCAATCTGTGAGTCAGATCTTGCACACTACACTGTATTGTGTCTTTGTTTGCCAGAGCAATAGTATCTGACAGTGAAGCCTCAGAATCAGAGTGTATTGTTGCACACACGTTTCTAATTTCTTTAAGATGTTTCCTTGATGCGTTTAGGCTTTCTCTGCGATTTATTCTAATTTTTTTGACACCCAGTGGAGACGAGCTACGGCCGTCGACTGAACGGCTCCTACCGCCTCCGGCAGCTGGTTCCCACGGCCGTGTACCAGCACATGAAGATGCACAAGAGGATCCTGGGACACCTGTCGTCCGTGTACTGCGTGACCTTCGACCGGACGGGGCGACGCATCTTCACGGTAAGAGGCTGCAGCTCGCGCACGTGCGGCGCGACGTTGACCTCGGCCGCCTCTCTGCGCAGTTTCAGGAGCCTATTTAGTCCGCCGTCGCTCGATAGCAGTTTATTTAGAGTCACCTCTTGTACGCCGTGCATGCGTTTGATTGCTACAAGGTGTCTTTTGCTTACCAAGCATCTGTATTCCATGTTGGAACAGTTCTGGTAGGAGGTAATTACTGTTTACCTTACTGCGGTGGGATGCTTGTACTCAGTGACTCACGGCTACAGCCTGCAGGGGAGAAAATTCACACAACTCTGTGGTAATAATGATGTTTTAAAGAAGGTAAACGAGGGATTCCCTTGGTTCTGAAAGGAAGGAATTTGACCTCTGCCCTTCTGGATTGTCTACACGTGCTGCGTTCACTGCTTTTCTTTCCCCCCACGTGGTTGTGATGAAGGTACAGCATTTGGTAACGTGTTAAATATTGAACCAGCGCTGAGACAATGTTGATTTAATGTTGCCATCCGTCTGTTTGGATCCTCGAGTCAAACACTGCCTGCTGCTATACACCATTTTCAGCTTTCACTTCTTAAATCTCTAAAAATGGCTGGCTGCTGAGAGGGAGGGAGGGGGGTTAGATTGACTGTCTCTCTCTCTCTCTTTTTTTTTTTTTTTCCTGTTATCTCTCTCTCTTTTTTCCTCTCCCCCTTCCTCATCCTGTGCTGCCCCGCCTTTGTTCCTCTCTTCTCTCCCTCCCCTCTTCTCGCTATTTCTCATCATAACTGGAGAAAATGTTTCCTCTGAGGCGCTGGCTAAGTGCCAGAATTAAAATTCATTCTTGGTCTCCCTCACTTTCTCCCTCCTTTTTTTTCTTCTCTCTCTCTCTGCTCATTTTGTTCTCTCGCTGTCTCCTTTCATCGCAAGATCATTTTTATTTATATATTTCCTTATTTTTGGATCTCTTCTGTCTTCTTTTGACTCGGGCTTTGCTGCAGTTGCGGGCAGATTGATTGATTATTTTTGCGTTGGCTAAATATTCACTCTGATCGTTGTGTTCAATGGGTGCGCGCATGTGTGTTTGGTTTAACAATGGATTGCTATTGATTTGTGTAATATAGCTTTAGAAAATGGCCCAGAGCTCATTATCGTGGCCATTGGAGAAGACAAATTAAGACTTAGTTGGTATGGATTGTTTGTGCCTCTGACAGTAGTTAACATCTATAATAGTAAGGAAACTTTGTGTCAAGTCTTTGGCTGTTTCAGACCCTGAGCAGCTCTCAATGAGGCAGCGCTTCAGTTTCCTGTCCATCTTTTCCACACTTGTAATTTGTCTCCTTCTGAATCACTCATGAACTGGTTTTGATCAGGCCATACAGACTGACAGCTCCAGTCAGACTCTGTTGTACTCACAGTGGATTAAGTGGCCATTCACAGGAGCAGGGATTTTACTTTCCCTTACAAAATGTGGGACTGAACGATTTGGGGAAACCTCTGATTGTGAATTTGTTAGATGTTTTTCTTTTTAAGTCGAGCTTCAGGTCAGTGTTTGCTGTGTTTTAGATTTAAAACATGGTGGAGCGTTAACACATGAAGAAGCATCACACAAGGAGGAGGAGGACATGAATTTGACAGTTTCTGCAAGATGAGCGAGGTGTGGCTGTCGAATAATGAGACTGGGCTTATGTCAGATGAACATAAGTTGTCAGGAGTTTTTTGGCAATTTATTAATTGCATTGTTTTAAATGATGATTTTAATTTGAAATTGATTAATTACTCAGATGGTTATGGCTTGTCTTCTAAAATGCTTTGCACATATGAAGAGCGTTGTGATCAGACACCATGAGTACCATCTGACCTGCAGTTTGTCAGAAATTATTATTTGAATTAGGGCTATTTTTCTCGTCGTTTTAATATGTTGATTATTTTCTCTACTAATCAACTAGTTGTTCTGTTTATAAAATGTCAGAAAATGATAAAATATGTTGATCAGTGTTTCTCAGAGTCTAAAAGATATTTAGTTGACTGTCCGAGAGGAGGGAAAAAAACAGAAAAATATTTAAGAAGCATTGAATTTTGACGTTTTTTTCCCTTAAAAATGACTCAAACAGATCATTGAAATAGTTGCCAATTAATTCAGTGGTGGACAGCTAACAGATTCATCTCTGCGTGTCTGATTTAAATGCATGCATTTGTTAAATTTACAAAACCCTGACATCCCCAGTCAGTTTTTTAAAAATATAATTCTCAAGTCCTCGATCGTGTCACTCTGTGTTTTTGCATTTTGATGATGTTACCTGTTGGTTTTAAAGATTACGCTGAGATCTTAATCAAGGCACAGATGGATTTGTCTTCATGTCGAATCACAAACACTTTAACCCCAAACAATTTGGATCACAGCCAGGAATTCTCAGGCGAGTCCCCGAAGGCGGATTTCATGTCTTGATGGAGGCCTTGGTAGTGCATTTAAAGAATGTTTAAGAAGCTGCCTCCAGGCTAGCAAATTTCTTCCAGGCTTCACTTACTGCAATATCATTTAATAACTGTCCTTTAGCTCTTTGGATGCATTCCTTTGTGCTCTTTTCTTTGCTTTCATTTCTATATGCTACTGAGAACGCCTCCCGTCTAATATTGCTTTTTTTTTTTTCTTTTCTATAAAACCGTTTTTGTCAAAATGAGACATCTTCTGACATCTTAGGGAAGCCTCAGCCAATACAGTTGTTTTTCCCTCCACAGTCTGAGATTACTCTATTTTCTTCGGTGCACTTCTACTTTATTTCTGCTGGAGTGGAGAGCATACAGAGTGCAGGCCAGCCTTTTTCACAGCGGTGTGAAAAATCTTTGTTCAGCACTGTCTGGGTAGTTAGTCAGTGGGTTTATTTTCCCCCGTTGTTTGTGGTAAAGTGTTTACCTGCGCGCCGCACCTCATCATTGGGAATAACCAAATGAAGGCAATAGCTCGAGAAAACATTTTCATGAATTCCCCATCAACCTAAAATTACACGATTTGCTTACCAGTCATTTAAATGTACAGTTTTTCCAATCGATGAGCAGAGATTGGTCAGTAATTACTGTACTTAGGTGTTTTTTCAATTCAACTGAGCTGATCTTTGTGGCACCTTTGGGTCCTTGCAGGTGCACATACTGTATTAAACACAATCTGACTAAAATATACTCACACTGCAACAGCTATCTGTTATGTGTGGGCAATGCTCACTGTTGTTTTATCCCAATAAGATACCCTGCTGGATGTGTTTACATGTCACGTGCATGATTTTCCCCATTAATGGTAATAATTTATTAGCATGCATGTAAACACATTGACCATTTAGCACCCTGAAATGATCATTGTCCCTTTTTGTCCCAGCGCAAGTTAATCACAAATCTATTTTTTGCATCTAAAGACTCTCATTCCCTTCTTCTGTTTGTCTTCCAAGTTTGTCAGTCTGCTGACAGTCTCGAGCTGAAGTGTGCCCAGATATATTTTAAAAGTCCTTTTGAACTTGACATGTTTAATTTGTCATACTAGAGGAGATGCCCAGAAGCAGACGCTTCTCAAAGTATCTCTAATACTAGTCGTCACTCATGTCTGATAGTCATGTTGGCGGTGCTTTCTTTCTTCCTTTCCCAGGGCTCAGATGACTGCCTCGTGAAGATCTGGGGAACAGATGACGGGCGTCTGCTGGCGACTCTGCGCGGCCATGCTGCTGAGATTTCAGACATGGCCGTCAGCTACGAGAACACCATGATCGCTGCCGGCTCCTGTGACAAGACCATCAGAGTGTGGTGCTTGCAAACCTGCGCCCCTTTGGCTGTGCTCGAGGGACACGCAGCCTCCATCACCTCACTTCAGGTAAGAGGATTGCAGGGGTGTGTGGTTTGTGTGTGCGTGTAGTTGATTGCTCCGAAAAGATGATTTAAAAGCCCGCTAACACTATTTGCTGTGTCTACCTGTCTGTAACTGTTGTAGAAACTTTGTACCAAGAGCACAGAAACTCTTGTGAAATTGCAGCCTAGCTAGTATTTTTTTTGGTGTTGTTTGCGTGCTGGTTGATTTTTATCTTGTGTTCTGTGTCACTGTGGTTGTAGAATTGGGAAGCTACCAATAGCTATGTTAGGACAAGCTAAAGCTGCAATCCACTGTAGGGTTTACATGTTAAAACTAGTGTGGAAGGAGCATTTTTTTTGCGCACTCTGATTGGATTGTCTAACTGCCTGCCAACCTGCACACACTCTGCCCATGCACTCATTGCACATTACTGGAGCCTTCTGCAAAGCAAGGCAGACACATTGTTAAAGCTAGTGAGTAGATAGCACAAGAATGGCAGCCACTTTTTACATTTTCACCTGAACCTGACATCCAACCGACACTGTGTTTGTGTGTCTTTCACTGCTCTTTGTGGTCTCCATGCTCCTGCAATTTCATTAGTGTGTGTTTATCTGTGTATATGTTTGCCACCTGTCTGCATTGTAGCCTCGCTGTTAGCAAGTGTCATTTGATATTTGTCTTACATGAGCCTGTTGTGGCTTTGAATGGGACGTTCTGTGGTTTTTAGACACAGTGTGCTTTTAATGCACCGCGCTTCTCTCATATATTTCTCCTCTGTTTGTGCTCAGACAGTGTGTCTTTTTTGAGAAATGGCTTGGGCCATGAAGGGATCGAAAGGAATTTTTTTTGGTTGTCTGCAAGGTGGCTCGGTGGTTAGCACTGTTGCCTCGCAGCAAGAGGGTCGCCGGTTTGCCTCCCGGTGAGGACAGCCGGGATCTTTCTGCGTGAAGTTTCCATGTTCTCCCCGTGCAGCGTGGCTTCTCTGTGGGTTCTCCGGCTTCCTCCCACACAGTCCAAAAACATGTTGAGGTTAATTGGTGATTCTAAATTGTCCGGAGGTGTGAATGTGAGTGTGCTTGGTTGTCTGTCTCTAAGTGTAGCCCTGTGATAGACTGGTGACCTGTCCAGGGTGTCCCCTGCCTTCACCCTGAGTCAGCTGGGATAGACTCCAGCCCCCCATGACCCTAGTGAGGATTAAGCGGTGTATAGATAATGGATAGATGGATGTCCGCTTTCAAAATCTACCTCACTGTTCCTGTTTCTGCCGCCCTGCATACTCTAACTTTCAGTAGATGAGGTCAAAAAGAAACCACTAAAGTAGGAGCAATAGACGACGCGCTTGTTTGATATCCAACATGTGATAAAATTCCAATTTTATGTTCTGTGGCTGGACTTTTTGTGGGGAGCATTTATGCTTTTATTTGGCTGTGACAGTGAAAACATGAAGGAAATGACATGCAGCAAGATGTCTGTGAAGATTCTCAGTCATCCAGGTCATGGTTATTCTCGTAGTTAAATCGTAACCACTGGACTCGCTTGAGTTTCTCATAAGCTTTCTAATGAGCAACAAACCCCCAGCTGAAACTGAAACTTAAGTGTGAATGGCTCCTTAAGGATATAAGTATGTGGAACTCCCAACTAGTCAGTCAGAACTGATGAAGCCTCTTGGATGAGAGGTGAAACGTCTTCAAGGAACTCAAGCAAGTCCAGTTGCTACGATTAAACTACGAGGACATGCAGCAAGGGTCATGTGATAGGCGGACTAACTGCTTCGGCTCGTCAGAAGTTTACATTATGGTCTGTTGTGTGTATAGCAGTGGGTAGGTTTAAAGTGAAATTTATTGACAATATAAGCACAGCGCACTTCATCGCCATAAAGAAACGTATCATCCAGATCAACAGTGTGGCTCACTTGTGAGTTTTGAATTGTTTCTGGACAACAGTGGATATCTAGGGCACAAAGCAATAAGCTATATTAACAGGCAGTACTTTTTGTTGGATCAGTTAATTATGGTTTGATCTTTTTATGGAATAAGATGATTTATCCTGTCTTACTTTGCTCACCCACAGTGTTTTTTAGCCTCTGTATTGCCTGTTTAAAATTACTTTTAAAGCTTTGTTTCTATGTCCACTCGTGTATTTCAAGCTCACGTATGGAAATTTTATAAGATCATATGGGTTAATTCTCCCTTATTTTTTTGCTGTAGTGTCATCTGATCGCCCATTACACTCAGCTGTAACCTCTAATTGGTTGTGTTTGCAGTTTTCTCCTCTCTGTTGTGGCTCCAAGCGCTACCTGTCCTCCACCGGAGCTGATGGCACCATCTGCTTCTGGCAGTGGGATGCACGGACGCTCAAGTTTGGGTAAGAAATACAGATGCACCGTGCACAAGTGGTTTTCACACTTTTTGCATCGAGCACGTTGCCAGAATGTCATTATTTTTCCCGTGTTTGTGTTTGCGTGTTAATTAACTGGTGAAAATCATACTACACTATTAGTGTGCTGGATATGCAGCTTTACCATACGCAGATGACTAATTCCACAGGGATTTTGGATTGCTGGCTTTATGTCACGACTACTGTTGTGTGTGTGTGCTGAAGATATCTAATTCAAAAATAGTTTGGTACAAGTGATCAGGAATCCAACATGACCAACTGTTCCACTAAAAGCATGCAGACTCATAGTTCAGCGTGCTTCTTTTTAAATATCTTTTTCTCTTTTTTTTGTGCTCGTGTCCAGTCAGAGGCCCAGTAAATTCACAGAGCGCTCCAGACCTGGCGTCCAGATGATCTGCTCCTCCTTCAGCGCAGGTGAACACAAGTGCTGCTTTGATTTTCACGCGTGCTCCGAGACCAGAATGTCAAAAAATGTGCACAATTAGCCCAGATTAACTGAAGAGCCAGCGCTGCAGACAGACACACTCAAGCATGCCTGCTGCTTGTCAGTAAATGTGGAATGAGTGTACTTCAGATGTTCAGAGGGTGTTTCTGTTTTGACTTGTTATTGACCTTGAACATTTGACAAACAGGTTGAAAGTTTGCTAAGTGTACAATTAAAAATGCAAGACGAATGTGTGTGTATATTAACACACAGTATATTCATGATAAATTCAAGTGCAGAGTGTATAAGCTTTGCCCAAGGCACAATAAATACTAGAGATTTTTTTAAAGAATATTAAATCCATGTACGCAACAGATTCATGAGCAGTATTCTAAATCTTTAACTGTGTGTCCAGGTGGTATGTTCCTCGCCACAGGAAGCACGGACCATATCATCAGGGTGTACTACTTTGGATCGGGCCAACCAGAGAAGATTTCTGAACTTGAGTCCCATACAGTGAGTCCACGTGGAGACTTTTTTTGTACAAAAATGAAATAAATACACTACGATGATTTACAACTGCACAAGTGCAGTTATTTTTGGCTTAATGATTAGCAAGTGTATGAGCTGTCTGGCGAGTAATAAATTACATATTTTTACCGTTGAAGTTCCTCCTTGGTCCTGAAAGCAGTAGTTTAACCAAAGAGGAAACAACCTGGTGTCCATTTACTTTCTTCTTTTTTAACCATACATCATGGTTTTTGCTCAAAAGTGTTTTAAAGAACGTTTACACTGATCAGCCACAACATTTAAACGATCTGCTTGATATTGTGTAGGCCCCTCTGGTGCTGATAAAACAGACGTGAATTGTTGTGCCGTGGAGCCAGGACCTCTGGTGGTGTCCCATGGTGTCTGGCGCTGGGACTTTGCCAGTGGATCTGCTGGGTTTTGTGGGTTGAGGCCTTTGTGGATAGAACTTGTTCTGGCGTATCCCGTGAATGCTTGACTGGGGAGTTTGGAGGCTGGACCAACACCTTGGGCTCTTTGTCGAGTTCCTCAGGCCGTTTTTGTTGAGTGGCAAGGTCCACTGTCATGTTGAAAGAGACCACTGCCTTGTGGGAGTGCTGTTGCATTGGGGGGTGTGTGCTTGGTCTGCAACAATGTTTAGTTGGGTGGTACATGTCTAAGCACCAGGCCGTAACCCCAGCAGAAAATCGCATTGTAATCTCATGAGGAATATTTCCTTTACTTGTCAGCAGTTAGAATGTTGTGGCTGATTGGTGTAAATGGTGAAAGTTGTCCTCATTTACCTCGACTTGAGCAAATGCGACTAAAAAAGCTCTAGAAAAGCAAACAAGCTGTCCTTGAGTTATGATTTTTTTGCTAACGACATGATTTAAAATTGTCATAATTGGGCAGGCAGAGTAAAAATAGCTTGTGCTGACTTTTCTCCCATGTCTTCCTACCTAGGACAAAGTTGACAGCATCCAATTCTCACATTGCAGTGACAGGTAAGCTTGCACATGTTGTGATTATATATATATGTGTCTGAGCTACAGAGCTGGTGTCGTTAATTTTTGTATGGGCACCACTGTTTGTTTTTATGGAGCCTCAGGGTGCTGTAATGTGACTTGATTGTGTCAGCAGAAACACTGCCTTTACTTACTGTCTAATACATTTTCTTAATACGCAATCTCTCATACACACACAGACGCTCGCCTATGCTTGCACATACCGTTCGCTGTGAGTGTTAAACTGTGTGTGCCTCGATGGAGTTTGCAGAAAAACAAGCTCAGCTGTAATTCCCCTGGGTGGCTGTAATCTAAGCAGTGAGGAAGGTAGACTGTCTATGCAGGGAGCAGAGGCGGCAGAGGTGGAGACACGTAATTTGTGTGTGTTCATATGTGGAGATGGAAGGAACCGTCGTACTAATGAAATCTGAACTAAGTGCTATATTTTAAGTCGCACAAATCTGTGTTCACGAATCTGTGTTGTAGGTTCGTGAGCGGCAGCAGGGATGGTACAGCTCGAATCTGGCAGCTGCAGCCTCAGGGCTGGAGGAGCATTCTGCTGGACATGCAGACCAAATTACCAGGGTATGTGTGTGTCTGTGTGTGTCTGTGTGGCTGTCAAAGCCTGGCCTTTCCATCAGCGCCGTTGTGCTTAGAGCTCAGACCCGCGAGCTGCAATGATCCTGGGAGGTTATGATGTCAGTTTCAGTTCTAAAAAAATCAATCATGTGCACAAAAGTCCTCGACCTGTAGTACGTGACAGAAATGGTTCAATGTTTAAAAGCACAAATATTTGTTTCGGAACAGCTAAAGGAGACTTAATGCAGTTTGTGCCAGAAGCAAAAAGCCTTTTTTTTTGCATCTTGCTCTTGCATCTGCATTCATTTATTTAGTGACCTACTGCATAATGTACAGCACATAAATAATTAAGTTAGAGAAAAAACAAAAAAGAACACTTTCACACCTGTGGCATGAAATGTGACATAGTGATTGATTACTCGGCTGCTCCCAGATACAGTATAGATTTACTGTGGACATCACAGACGGGGAGTGAATAGAGTTAATACTGGCAGGCTGTTTGTGTCTTTACTGTCTTAATAAACACAACAAGCCCTGTGTAGCAGTTAGAATCACTACAAACAAACAGATTAAATACAAAAATCTTCATTCATACTGAAATATGGAAGATGTGTTGGTATTAAATCTTCAGAATATGACAACACTGATATTATACTACTGTCATTAGTAGACCTTCTAACCTAACAAGGCCTCTCCAGTAGTCTGGACAGTACAGAAAGTCTGAAGTGTTGGAATGTTTTGAATGTGCTACTTTCACAGTTTACATATGTGAACAGTAACAGCTGGGATTCTGAATAATTATCTCAAGCTGTTGAGAGATGAGGTCTAGCTGCTCATTAATGGTGTAAAAGAGGACAGAGGGTAATCCAGAATAAACTCCTCAACAGGAATAAACGGGTCATCAGTTTGTCCCTTCCAGCAGAAATAGGATGCTTTTCGATTGTTGTCGTGTTGCATAATATTTAAATGTGTTGTTCTTGTATTTGTATTTATGTGTGCAAAGTAATAAGTGCAGGCGCTGTAGTCTGTCTAAATGACATTAATGTCCTCCCCTCAGGAAGTATAACCCTCCTCCGCTGGAAGACAAGGTGACCAAGCTGAAGGTTACCATGGTAGCGTGGGATCGCCATGACAGCACGGTGATCACAGCGGCCAACAATCTGACGCTGAAGGTGTGGAACTCCATCACCGGAAATCTGGTCCACGTCCTGATGGTACGTAGCGACTAAAACACCCAAACACGGAGGTGAACTCGTGTTTTTAAAAGCAAAGTGGCCATTCATTTTGCAGTAACGGTATATTAAGGATCATGCAACTTGTATTTCTACCGGAGGCTGCGCTAGACTTTCTTGTTCTCCTGCGTTTTGATGGACAGGGTTGTAAAAATTCCATCATAATCTTGTTTATTACCTGCCGTTTTAATTTTTATAAACCCCTTCTGGTGAAAATCAATCTTTTTGGGTTGTTAAAATGCCCATATGGTGTTTTTTATACGCTAGAAGACATATTATAACAAAGTAAGGCGCCTGAGTCACGGCTTAAGCATTTAGAGCTTGAAACTACACTCTCAAAAACACTTCCAGTTCTTCATATGCAACAAACATAAGGAAACAATCCTGTCGCCTCACAGCGAGGAGCTCTCTGTGTCATTATTCCTCGTTAGAATTGGTTTCTGGTTCCAACATGTATATCTGAATTATTCCAATTTTAGAGTAGTTTGAGTCGCAGGTGAGCTGGTGTGCTCAAGCTGCAGCGAGTGGCAGAAAAAGAGACAGGGACTACACGTATCTAAAGGCATCCAAGCCATTTTCAGACAAACAATCCCTTTCGTGGAAAAACTAAATATGTCACTATAATAAACAGAGATGAGCTTTTAGGGGTTTAACTGATGCCTGCGTTGGTGCTTTAAATGAATGATGATGAGGCATGTTTACCAGCTTGTCATTTCCAAAAACTACTCGTTCACATTGATAAATACGCAGAACAATCTCACAGATTGTACATTTCTAAGGCCATGAAGAGCTGAACAGACATCGACTTTTCATGTCAAGCAGATGAAAGATTTTATTTTTTAAATTTCTGCAGTGACACAGAAAGCACTGAAACACTGCAGCCTAATACACACAAATATAAAACAGTGCAAGTTTCCAGAATTAAACGATGACGGCCGAAATATTCACAAACCGCTGCTATCACCGGCACCACTTCAGCCCCAGTTTTGAAGTCGGGCAGCATTTTCTCCCAGGGACGTGATCAGAAGACAGCAAGACTTTCTTGAACGTGGGATTTCCCGACCCTGCAAGCACTCACTTCACTGGGAGGATATCCTGCAGCATGCACTCCTGCTGCACCCCGCTACGACTCTGCAGTGAAACGTTTGATGTTGACACCGCGAGCATGCGTTACTTAGTGTTGCGTGCCAATTATGGTCAATCTCGCTGAGTGCTCTATTTGTCAAAATGACGGTCAACCTTCAGATTTTTTTTTTTTTTTTACCGGTGTTAAAAATATTCAGTCGTGGTGGAAAATCTTCAGTTAATGCAACCCCTGATTTTCATTTGCTCTGATCATTGACCACTACTTTGATCCAGACTGACGATTATAGATACATTAAATGCATTAGATTATCCAGACATTCATGATCCTCAGAAGATAAAGTCTAGACAACATGACAAAAGGTTCAGCATTTTGGTTTTGGAGCAAACACCTCATTGTGTAAACATATGTCTGATTATATTTACTTGCATTGTCAATGTGAGTGTCTTAGCTTGTTGTGCTAGCGTGGCTGTAGATTATTGTCAGATGGTAATCTAGGGCCTAGTGTCAGAGTCTTCCTGATGACGGTAGAGCTGCTGCAACGTTTAATCAAGTAACTGATTATTTGTCAACTATGAAGTTGATTGGCAACTATTTTTTATCATCAGTTTTAAACTAAATAATCTGTTTCCGGCTTCATAAATGGGACAGTTTTCTAGTTTCTTTCCTCTTCTGTGACAGAAAGCTAAATATCTTTGAGTTGTTGACAAAACAAGACATCGGAAGACATCAGTTTGGGCTCTAGGAAACACCGACTGACTATTTCCTGGTATTTTATTGACTAAACAATTGATCTTATATTTGAGAAAATTAGAAAACAGATTATCTGACAGTGACAATAAGCATTAGTTGCAGCTCTAAATAATAGACAGATAGATAGAATATTTGATAGCTACCTGGAAGCTTATAAATCCAGAATTAAAATAAAAATCAAATGTAGACATTTTCCTAAAGATTAATATGAATTTGTGCTGCTGCTTGAGATTTCTTTAAACATGTCTCCAGAGAGAGTAATGCAAGTGGCACAAAATATACATAACTGTTCATAGTCTAAAACATGTAAAGTTGCTGCTTTTTAAATCTGTCCTCTTCCCTTATTTCTTAATCTCAGCTGTAATCTACATTTTCACATCTTTCGTTGACAGGGTCATGAGGATGAGGTGTTTGTTCTGGAGCCACATCCCTTTGATCCAAGAATCCTTTTCTCGGCGGGGCATGATGGGAATTGTATCGTGTGGGACTTGGCCAGAGGAGTCAAGATCCGCTCCTATTTCAACATGGTGAGACTGTTTCTCATCGTCTGCTTATCTTTGCGGATCACTTCCTTTCACTCACTGTATTCTCTTTGGTGTCATTTTCACTGAAGACGTGATATTTCTCGTGTCACACGGATGTCACGTCTACTTAGTGAATCTGCAAAAAGATATATAGATTATTTCAGAGTGTATTTTCTCTGGGCTGCAGAGCTGTGTGATTTTGCTAACAAATATTTCTTCACTGTTTGCTGCTTTCCCACGACACAATCCCTCTTCCAGTGTCTGACCTTCTTTCCCTTTCACCCATCGTTGCTCCCCTCCCTCTTTTACTTTCGCTTTCTCTCTCTGCTTCCTCACTTTTCTCGCATCTAATCCTGCATTTTGTCTGTCGTTTAATGCCTTCGTTGTGCTCATACGTATGTGTACGTGAGCTAAACGTGGAGTAAGAAAATCAGAATGAAGCGCACATGCCGCCCTGCATTCATCTCGTGCGTTAATCGTTGTTGTATTTCCTGCATTTGTCGCTATGGCAACCAAGGACAGCATTAATCACAGTCTCAGAACATGTGAGTCACCAAAGCGAGCTGGTGGTTCGGCCAAATCTCGGTGTTGATTGTAGACAGCGGAGGGTGTTGTTTAACAACACAAAGTGTGTGTGCGAGAAGGCCCGAATTTCAGCTGAATTAACTGTGAGACTTCTGAGGAATTGTAGCGGCTGTGGACACCAAAACAAAAGCGATGATTACAGGAGAGTTGCGAAGGACTCAAGGTTCTGCATTGGAAAATGTGAGCAGCGATATGGCAGCAAACAATTATTTGTTATGTGAAAGTATAGTGGAGTAATGGTGTCCTCCTTAGCAGAGAATGAATTTAACCCTGTGTGTGTTGTTATCTGAGCTTCTCTGTTGGTAGCTGATCCAGCAGCACATATGTGTTAAAGCATGTGAGTCCCTCCCTTTGAAACTGTTGAAAGTGACCCATCACATTGCCTTGGAAAAGTCAGCTGGTGCCACAAACAAGCAAAGAATTTAAAAGCAAAGTATTGTTTTAATGTTGTGTGCCTCATATTTGTGCTCTCTTTTAGTTTCAGCTTTGTCTTAAGAGTCTACTCCTCTGCTTCCTTTTTGCTTTGCTACGTCTGTTCCGCTCTCGTTTGACTCAGCGGATGTAGAATACAGTTAAAAGCCTGCCACTGGCCGCTAATTTCAGGTGGTTCGCTAATTCCCTTCTGCTGTCTTATTTTCTTCGCTATAGGAAACAACAGAAACCTTTGAGCAGCAACTTATCGCGCTAAACTTTAGCAGAGGATTTGGTTGATGCTGTAAGGTCACCCTGGTAGTTTGATTTTTATTTTTTTAACTAGCTATTTTAATCATGTGCCACCACAACAGTTCCACCTGTCAGTATTTTAAAGGTAACACTGGAGCTGCACCAGCTGCTTCGCCTCTCCCATGATTACTGCAACTGGTACACAGAAATACAAACAGAGTATTTTTTCCCCTATAGCAGAGTGATAGTGTGGTGCAACCAGGCCATTCTGTACTTTTGAATGGGCTGGCAAAGCGAGCATCTGTATGTGTTTGACCTGCTGTGTCTCCTCTTTTGTGTGTCATGGACTCACGATGAAACAGACACACATGGAGTGGAGCAGAGTGGAGAGACAGGTCAAGCAAAGATAACAGAACTCGAGTTGACAACCACTTGTCAGCTTCTCATGTATTTCTAGTATATAATATATAGCTACCAGTTGTATTTATCTTTAGCTTTAGGCCACAGGTGTGTATGCTGTGTATACGCAGCATAATGAGTGAAGTTACAGGCAGAACTTTATTGATGCAGCCCTCTGATGTTCTGGACTCTCAAAGACTGAGCTGTTTTTAAAGTTGATGGGAATCAATTAATAAAAATGTCAGTTGAATAAGTTAGTTAAAAAGTTGTTTTCTGTAGTTCTCTGACAAACCGTCAGAGTGAGCCTCTATGCGCTGGTTTGGTTTCAGACTTTGCAGCAGAGTGCGAGATCTCACCGCTGTACGGTCGTAAACTATCTGAACTGTTCGTCATCTCTGTGAGCCAAGTTTGACTTGATTACAACAAGCAGCAGCAAAAACGGAGCTTTTTGTGGTGTTGCTGAAGTGTTTTACATGCTTTTGCATGGAGAATATTTGTCTTTTTACAAAATCAAATTGTAAAAATGCTTAACAGCATTCACTGTCTTATGAGAAATTAAGTATATATCGGCGATTAATCGGCAAAACTCTGGCCGATGATGAGTGTTTTGAAAAGGGCTATAATCGGACGATTGAATCGGCCAGCCGATAAATTGGTCAGGCCTTAATTTCTAGTCCTAAATGAAGTATAAAGGGATGGCAGATGCATTTGTATGTTCTGATCTGAGATACTCGAGCGACATCCGCATGGTTCTGAATGCCGTACAATGCACCTTTAAATGAAGTGTTAAATTAGCAGAAATGACTGATAAAGGCAGAGAACTGACTCAGTAATGTGAGTTTTATCAAAAGGTTACTAATGGTAGTACAGTGAGCTCATCTTCCTGTAACTACGATGACTTATACACTGCCTGACTATGAGCCATGGTTGCTATCATTAGTCCAGATTTACGGCAGCATAACATCTTAAAATATAGAAATGCGAAGGAGGAATTACTGACTCCTGATTCAACTTTTCTTTTAAAAGAAGACATCACCACCTCTACTCATTAACACGATACTTTGGCTTACTTTCTGCAAAGCTATAATTACGTCCATCGTTATGTACAGTCTAAACATGTGGCATGGTTTACTTACTGCATCATGTCTCTAATACACCCTTTTCAACACCGCGGCTCATTCTCACTGTAAACACGTTTTCATCAATACTACTCCTGTAACAAGGAGATTAATGAAATTGTCTGAGGAGGTTTTGTGTTATCATTTGGATATTTACGTTGCATGTTAACAACTTCTGCAGCTGTCTGTCATCCAGCTGGGCAAAAACAAACCTAAGCAGAAGATGAGTGAAACAGAGCTTCAGGTTCATCCAGGATAAGCTGTGCGCTACTTAAGTTTGGTGCGTTGGCAGATGCAGAGTCTTTTTTTTTTTTTAATGAAGAGGCAAAAAACTATAAAGACATTTCTCATCTTGGGATTGAATGGAGCTATTGTGAGAGTGAGGGAATAGTCCCTGATCAAACCAGAAGCAACAGCTGGCTGACGGTCACAACAGTTAGGGGGTTTTGTCTCTTCAATTTTCTGCTGATGAAGTTTCAGTTTCTCAAGGTGGCACTCTGTCGGGGCGACGCTGGCCTGCCATTTCTGATAAACCGACTGCTGTTGTGCGATAACCGATTTCTGTTTTTTATTTCTTTTTTGGAAGATTCTTTGTTTGCCGTCCGGCTGGCGTGTGGATCTAGACATTTTAGAGCTGATTGTGTCCATGTCATACAACCGGTACAGCTCCCTGGAATTTCCCCCGATAGTGTAGCACCATGATTTACAGTGTGCACCTATTTCTCTGCCTCTCTGTGGATAGATTGAGGGCCAAGGGCATGGAGCATTGTTTGACTGCAAATGTAGTCCAGATGGGCAGCACTTTGCGGCCACCGATTCCCATGGTCACCTGCTCATCTTTGGCTTCGGCTCAAGCAGCAAGTACGACAAGGTAACAGGCTCGTGTTAGATATTTATACACATACCCAACGGCTAATTGAATGTTATTAGTAACAACAATTGCCCTCTACCTGTTAACTTTACACCTGCTTCAGATAGCGGACCAGATGTTCTTCCACACCGACTACCGGCCACTTATCCGCGATGCCAACAATTACGTTCTGGATGAGCAGACTCAGCAGGCTCCGCACCTAATGCCGCCTCCCTTCCTGGTGGACGTGGACGGGAACCCTCACCCACCTCGATACCAGCGACTGGTGCCCGGCAGGGAGGGCTGCCGGGATGAGCAACTGATTCCTCAGATGGGGGTCACTTCTTCAGGTACAGAGGCTGAAATCAGAGAATATGTTTTCTTTACAGCCTGAGGGCAAAAGCTCAGTCGTAGTTCTGCGCTGCCCTTGTCTGCTTGTACTCTTCAGATCAGATCTTTGCCTGGAGGTGATGCTGTCGTCTTGTGTCTCATCACAGCTCATCTGTCAGCTAATCAAAGGCGCTTTTATCAAGCTGATCATACCGCTCTCATAGCCTGACGATAATGTTATCTGTCCTCAAATGTGCTTAATTTAAAGCTTTGATTGAAACGACTCGAGGATTGGCAATTAAGGTCTGAATTAATAAGGCTGTTTTAAAACCTTGGGAGGGATATAAACAGAAACAATCAGTGGTTAATGAAATGCATTAGTAGGGCAGAATGGAGAAAGGTGAAGGAGGCAAACGGGGGAAAGAGGAAATATGCGGTATCTGAATTTCTAGCCAGGATTTTTGGGGAAAACCTATTGCCTATTATACTTGTTATGGGTATTTATAACTGAATGCAACACAGACATGACAAGACAGCAGTGGTATTCCTTATGACTGTACGACTGGTTGGTTTAAAGCTTATCTGATTTCACCAGAAACTTCCCCTTTTTCTGTTTCTCTTTCACTTTTTAAGTCTCTGTCTCGCTTTTGCTCCACTCCTGTCTGTGTCAGGCCTGAACCAAGTGGTGAGCGAGCAGGCGGTGGACGGTCCCAGTCCTCTGGACACGATGATCCAGAGGCTGCAGCAGGAACAGGACCAAAGACTGGGAACGAATGATATCTCCGTGAATGCAGCAAACACCAGGTCCAGCAGAGGTCAGGACCCGGACATGACATGAAAGTCACACTAGCTTTTTAATGTTATTTAAATGCTATTTAAATTAGCGTTTGTCGTTATCTGCCGGTGGTTCAGGCGCTATTCACAGCAATTTCAGCAACGTGCTGATGTCTATAAATTGTAGAGGTTTCTTGTATTTGACGCAGGTTATAGCAGAAGCCAAGAAGTCATTTTATTTTAATTCAGATATGATGAATTCATATAATTAACTGGAGAAATTGCACTACACGATACATTTGTATTAATTACATATTCGATCATAACGTAACAATAATTACTTGTGTATTTTGTACAGTGAACCTAAAATATATGGAGCATACCGCATGCATAATGTACAATTATGCAAAACAAGCATTTTATTCATCTCAGTGAGATTTACCCAGGAAATATAAAAAAAAGATCAACTCCCCCGACACAGAGAGGAACTGAATACAGAGAGCCAATTTTCACAAAACACATTAGGTGTAGGTAGGAAGTGTTTGGGAGGTATGATTTTTTTGTGTGTAAGGTAATCCACTAAGTGATGAGCACAGAGGATCAAAATGATTAGTGTCCTCAGTTCTGGTGCACCATACCGATAAGTAGCATATAGAATGTTTTGAACTGCATTCAACAAGCCAGTGTTGGAGAGAAACTAAGCGCATTTATGCAAGTACTGTATTTAAGTACAACTTTGGCATACTTTATGTGAATATTTCCACTTGATGCTGCTTTATACGTCCACTCCAATGCATTTTAAAAGGGGATTATTACACTTTTTTATTCCACTATATTTCTCTGACAGCTTTAGTTACTTTTAGAAATATGATATTTCACACTTTTTGAAGTAAAAGCAACTAAGTAATATAACACGTTGTTATAGATTAAACCAGTGGTCGCCAGCCTTTTGGGCTTCTTACGAAAAGCAGTGTACATTTGGATTTTTCTCTCTAGACTTCTGACATGATTTAATTGTAATGTTCAAAAAGTCCAATATCTCACCAAAAAATCAAAGATTAGAGAAAGTCCCCAAACTGTTCTTCTCCCTCTCATTCGCCCTCAGATTTATCTGCTGTCCCTGAATATAAAACTGGATGTAAAGTGGTTCTAACCTGCTGCTGACACACTGATGCTTCACTATTATTTATCCATTGATGCCATATATAATAATATATCAGTCAGAGGGACCAAACCAGGACTTTAGCTTTCATACTCGTGTACTTCTACATTAGTGGTAATTAACTATTTTACAATCACTGTATTGATACTTTTCCCTCAAGCAAACGATCTAAATACTTGTAACACTAATGCAACAAAGTTTAATTTAATGGAACAAACAGAAACACTCAGAGTAAACAAGAAGATAAGTGTTTTTAATAGATCTGTTGGCGGAGTTTCACAAGGAAATGTCACTGAGTCAGTAACTGACTTCCTGCTAGTTCAGATCGTTGCTTTTCTTGAGTCTTTCTTTGTGCCTCTTGAAAACAGACTATTTAGATCCTACTAGAGCTTAAAACAGCTTGTTGATTAGTCAACAGATAGAAAATTAATTGAATTTAAAAAAAAATAACAATCTAAATAATCTGTTTGTTGAAGTGAGCAAGAAAACTGGAGATATTACTTCAGGCATGAGCGATTTGGGCTTATTGTCAAAGATCTTATTTGCCAGACTGTCATTTAAATTAACTCCAGGTTCATTTATAATTAAAATATTTTTTGACGTGCCTATATATTGGTTTTTGCACAGAAATTAATAACATATATCTGGCAGTAGTGTTAACAACGCTCTGTTACTATTAGAATGATATTTTTCATATAGCCCAGTTTTTGAGCTTATTACCTCTCAAAGGACGGTCCCAGTCCTCACCAGTCTACCCAGGGCTCTTTTTCACACATGTGCGTGCTAACACAGCGGAAAAAAAAAGTAAATAGATAACAAAATAAATATCTAATTGGGGAAAATGAAAGGAATTGGAAGTTGCAGCCTTTGAGTGAATATTTTATTTTTTTCCTGTCCTTCTGTATGGTGCAGCATCGTGTTTGCATGGGCAGCTCCTGAGTAAATGATCTACTGGGACTGGTTTTGGTGTTAGCAGTGTCATCATTTATTAGGTGTGTTAACTAGCCTCCCCCTTAAACCAGGCATGTCCTTTTAACACCGCTGGCTGACACAGTGATTCCAGTGTAACCACCACCGTTCTCTCTCTGACCTCTGCTTCCCTCAGGATCGGTGGGTTCGCCCACGGAGGTACACTCCCCGCCCAACGTGGGTCTCCGGCGCAGCGGGCAGATCGAAGGTGTTCGCCAGATGCACAGCAACGCCCCTCGAAGCCAGATGGCCACAGAGGGAGACCTGGTGGCCTGGAGCCGCAGGGTGCTGGTCCCCGAGCTGGAGGACGCCTCCGTCAGGTAACAGATGCACACAAAAGCCGAGTCCGGAGCAGAGAATGTCACAAGCCTGCAGAGATGATTCCACTGTGCGTATGTGCTTATCGTGTAGGAGGCAGGTGAACTGGCGTGAGGCTAAAGGGGAGGAGGAGATCAATATTTATCAGTCAGAAAGGAGGAGACGCACAATCCACTCTCTCCCCAAGGAGAGCAGGGTAAGTGAATTATTGGCATTATTTTTAGTATATAAGGAATTTGCATCTCTTATATACTTTGCACTCACCACCATGTCTTTGCTGTTGCACTTTTAGCCAAGATGAAGCCCCAGCTCTTATTTTACAACTTCAAACAAGTTCTGAATGCTTTTGCTGCCATGCGGCTAGGTGATTGTAGTTCTTCATATGTGGGCACAGAACAGTCGTCCCTTCAGTGTTTCTGCAGTTGGTTAGAAATGCAGCTGCCTGTCTCGTGATCACACAACTCCAGTACTGTCCTTCCTCCAGTGGCTTCCTGACCGCTTCAGGATTGGTTTTAGGATGTTATTGCTTGTTTTAAAACAGTTGGCGCCACCTTGCTTAGCAGAACTCTTGCATCTTCACATCCCAGTTAGAGCACTGAGGTCGACCAACCAGATGCTTCAGGATGTTCATGTTAGAAAATAAAGGCAATCGAGCCTGTGCAGTAGCTGCTCCTAATCTCTGGAACAGTTCATCTTTTCATTTAAGAACTGCTGAGACTGTAGAAACTTTTAAAAAGCCGCTTAAGATCCACCTCTTTTCTTTGGCGTTTGATTTAAGTAGATCCCGACACCCTGACCTCATCTGTGTTGTGTTTTCAGTCTTCCTCTTTGTTATGCTTCACTGTCGGGCAGTTTGGTTCGACTCCCGTTGCTTTTAAATGTGCTTCATAAATAAATGTGGCTTTGACTTTGCTGCAGGTTCACCCGACATCGGAGTGCGTCGTGGACGAGGGGAGGAGGAGCCAGGGTAACCATGGCTACCAAACCCGTGCCGCCATGGAGGAGACAAGCCGCCAGAGCGCCGAGGCTGCTGATGACGACGAGAGCACCTCAGAGGTAGATAGTTGTTGCACCGTGTTGTTTCTGGATTTAGTTTAATACTTCGTGGGTGAGCGGTGTAGAGAGTTTTCTCCTTCACCCTTGAAACAAATAGTTTTTAGTATTTTTAAAGAGATATCAGAGTTTTATCTGAACGCTTTTCATGAATTTCTTTTTGGATTGAGTCTTTTTCTGCATGTCGGTGCCAATCATTTGTGTATGTGTTTACAGGCAGAGGTGGAGGTACGACAAATTAATGGGCACTCCTCAGAGGAGGAGAAGGAAGAGGAAGAAAAGGAGCCCTGGCCAGATGACCACAGTAGTTCAAGGTAAAATAGACACAGTTTTATCATATCACTTGCACTACATTAAAATCAAAGCATAACACAAACAGATGCTGCCCACCGGTGTGTTTTAATCTCCGATCTGTGATGTGTTTGCAGTGACTACTCCAGCGATTACTCCGACTGGACAGCAGACGCAGGGATCAACCTTGAGCCGCCCAAAAAGAGCGTCAAAGTGAAAAAGAAAAGCAGCGGCTCCGAGGAGGACGGCGAGAAGAAGAGGGAGGGGAAGAAAGAAAGGAAGAAAGACAAACCAGACAAAGACGGTGCATTACCAAAGAAGAAGAAGCCAAAGGAGAAGAGGAAGGTTGGTTATCAGTAATGACTAAAATCTGATTTTTGTAGTTACAGGAAGACTGACAAGTAAACTTTTTCTATTTCAAATCAAGTTTATTGTCATATTGCTGTACATACACAGTAGTACAGGCAAGATGGAAGAGCGTTTCGTCAGGATCCATTAACTTAAAGCAATTTAAATAAACAAGCGTTTGCATATCTGGATCAGCAGTTCAGCATTCTGACAGCTTGTGGAATGAAGCTGTTGATCATTCTGGAGGTTCTTCCTTTATTTGATGATTACGTATATTAAAGTGGCAATTCAAAACTGAGAGGTACGCTCAGGTAGGCATCACGAAAGCTAACTGCTCGGATGTCAAGTCATGAGCTGAATATGATATGATACTAATTTAACTAACTAATTATCTATTTTTATGGAGGGCATCACAAAATAAGTTCCAGGGCTGAAAGAGAATGTTATAAGTAAGCTAACATTGCTAACAGTGTGCTCCATTGCACAGAAATGCAAAACCGCAGCTAACAATGAGCTTTAAAATATAAACTTTACACAAAGCCTGCTGCAGCAGCTTGTAATTCTGAATGTGCCAATAAAACCAGCAAGAAGTCTGAACGCTTTGCTAATCAGCCTGATCATAGAGGACCTCGGGCTGACGAAGCACCTCGTCCTCACTAAGCTATCGCAGAAGCTATAGGACCCGACCTTAACTCTGCCCTCAGTCTGTCACTGCCTCCTGCTAAAAAAGACACTTGGCTGCTGCGATGGCGGACTGTCAGAAAAACCCACAAAGTTTCTACCAGCCCTGTTTGTCTTTTGGCCTCTCTGTGTGCCTGACATTTGGAGTTTGCATGATAGCGTGCTGTGTTCAGAGACCGGGCCAGCGAGCTCCACCCGGGCCGCTCCCCCGCTGCCAAACCTGACAACTTTTCTGGCTGAAACCCTGACTTTGCATTTCATCTGCTTGGGGTCATTCTTTACGCTTTGGATTTCCTGCAAACATATGGAATAACTATTGAATAAAGCGCAGGGAGCAGCCATGTAAAGGATTGCGTCTGACATGATGAACTGAGTGTTTTCACTTCTCCGGTGATGAACTGACCGATCAAAACACGACACCCCTGGCCGGCTGACGTTCAGGAAGTGCAGGCCCATGTGGAAATACAAAATCCTCACTTCATTTTGGAAAAGAATATGCAAAGGCTCCTCAAAAACAAAAACTATGTGTAATATTTATTCCGTTGTGTGTCATTCAGAGGACGGAGTTTCAGGAGCAAGGGCTAACTCTGGAGGAATGGCTTCCCTCTGCGTGGATCACGGACACGGTCCCCCGGAGATGTCCTTACATACCCCAGATGGGAGACGAGGTACACGCCCTCCGTTTCTGTTTCCACCACATGTGCGCCACATGTCTGCCGATACCAAAACACAGGCACTTGTTTTACATAGCAACAAGGCTACACCAAAGTTGCCCGTGAGACTGTAATGCTCATTGCGTTTCAGAAAACAAAGAGCACACTCACTAAAAGTCGCTATGGAGTACGTGCTAAATCTGGGAAATCACGTTTTATGTTTGTTAAGTTACAAGCCCTGCGGTTGAGATGAAAAGATGCAGTTAAAGCCATGATCTGTTGTAATTTTATGTGTTTGTGTGTGTGTGCAGGTTTACTACTTCAGGCAGGGCCACGAAGCTTACGTGGAGATGGCCAAACAAAAAAAGATTTACAGCATCAATCCTAAGAAGCAGCCCTGGCACAAGATGGAGCTACGGGTAAGGAACAGTATGACAAAGATGGATTTATTACTCTCTAAAGGAAGACATCGCTCTTTAGAGCCCTTGTATCTGGAGATTTATATTTCCTTTTTGTTTGTGTGTGTGTGTGTGAGAGAGAAGTCCCAATAGAAATCATAGCAGAGCAGCCATGAAACAAAAATGAGTGCAGTGTTCATGTCGAGGAAGTACATTTGGAGAGTTGTTTATTAAGTTTTAAGTACAAGTTTAAATCCTGAAGCAATACCGCTCTGAAAACTTTCCCCCCAAACATCACCCATGAGCTACATCCTGCTCGGAGATCTAACATCTTGACTGACATTTAGGGGTGTAACATTTTCAGTGACATTTCTCTTGTAGGATAATGGCTAAAAAAGCGAGCCCAATGGGAATGACAAAGTCTTCCTAGAAATTCATGCACATCCACAGCCTACGATGGCGTAATCATTCGCTGTTGTTTCATTTCTACCAACAGTGTTTTTGTCACAAACCTCGTATGGGTGTGTCTTCTTTATCGTAGACGCTTTCATGTGGAGTTTAATCCTTTCTCTGTCCTAAAAATGTCTCTCCACTAAAGGAAAAATGCCAGCTGAGTACAAAGTTTCCTCCCCGTATATGAAACTGTGTCTGAGAGAACTGACAAAGAATCCCATCAGACACTTGAAAGCAACAGCTTATAGGATTGCATTTTTACTTGGTATACATTTTCTTCTTCCATGTGAAGAAGCAATTTCAGTGCAGATGGCGGACCATGATGCATTGCGCGCTTCTTTGCGAACGTGCTGGTTGTACCGTGTGAAATGCTGCGTTCTTTCTTTTTTTATATCTTTTTTTGAAAAATTCAAACAGTCACGCATACCTAAAACGCTAAAGCATCGCTGCCTTCAGTCGCACGTTTTGTCAGCCGGAAAAACTTCGTAGCACTTTCTCATCCCACACACACACTCACACACACTCTGCCACTTGGCTCGGGGCTTTCCTTTTGGAAAGAAGTGACAAAAGAAAGAATGTAGTAATAGAAAGTGAAAGCACGGCGGTGAATTGTCTTTAAAATAATAGCGTTTCAGGGTAAGTGAATGGATCTTTCTCGAGAGGAAATGAGTACTATTCATTACTTTTTCTCTTATTTGTGGCACTCAGGAGCAGGAGTTGATGAAGATAGTTGGCATCAAGTATGAAGTCGGTTTGCCCACGCTGTGCTGTCTGAAGCTTTCTTTTTTGGACCCCGACACTGGCAAACTGACCGGAGGATCCTTTTCCATGAAGTAAGCATCCCACTCCACACAAGGACGAGTGCTTTCACAAATGAGCTCGCGGTGACACAGCTTTAGAAAGACCGCAGCGTATAATTCAGCTCATTTCTCAGTGATGACACGTTTCTAACAGTCCATTATAATACTGATATTTTAATATAGTCCCCACGCTGCTTTACAGTTTGACATATCCTGTGCTTGATCAAGCTTTTTCCCTCTTTGTTAACAATATGCAGATTTTCAGCACCCACCAAGTGCGAAGCTAGTCTTTGAAGTAATCTGTACATTTCACACTTCACCAAAGCTCCCTTTCTCTTCCTGTATTAATTTCTATCTTTACACCAGACAGGACGTTACTCACACAACACTAAGTCACATATTAACGTCTGACAGCACAACAGGACTGCAGCTAATGATTATGATAATTGTTGGCGAATCTGTTTATTATTTTCCTCCCTGAATTGATTAGTTTTGTGTTTTTTAAAATGTCAGAAAATGGGTAAAAACGTCGATCAGCATTACTCACAGCCTGAGGTGATGTCCTTGTTTGTCTAAAGAAAGTCAGTTTGCTGTCATAGAAGAGGGAAAAAATGAAAATATTTACATTTAATAAGCTGGAATATGAGACTTTTATCTTTAAAAATACTCAGACTGATCAATCAATTATCAAAATAGTTGCAGATTAATTTATTAGTCTGGAGTCAGGGGGGAAGTAGACGGCAAGTTGTTTTAAATCTGTTGTACGATGTTAATAATTGATTACTTCGTTGAGCTTTGACAGTTTTGTCTTCTTGCAGGTACCACGACATGCCTGATGTAATCGACTTCCTGGTGTTGCGGCAGCAGTTTGACAATGCCAGAAAGAGGCAGTGGACCATAGGTCAGATACTTTTATACTCTGATTTAGTTATACTTACTGAAAACAAGTCAAGGATTTGAAACAAATATAAAACGCAGCATGTATCACATTCATTCTCTGGCTAAGTTTAGGTTCTTTTCTTTGTAAAGTCCTAAATATTTCTGTGGTGTCTGCACAGGGGACAGGTTTCGGTCTGTGATTGATGATGCCTGGTGGTTTGGGACCATCGAGAGCCAAGAACCCTACCAGTCTCAATATCAAGACAGCTTGTTCCAGTGCTACAACGTCTGGTAAGATCACAGTTTGGTTTTACTCTGTTTTCAATAGGGATCTGAATACATTTACTTTTACAAGATAGACTCATTGCATTTGCATCAGCGAGGAGATCTATCGCAACAAACGACGTGTTGGTCATTTTTTGCAAATTAAAACACTGCACTAGCCCACATGACAAACAGGCAGATGGTGCAGAGATGTACATGACGGGTGTGAAACCGAAACAGAGGAAATGCATTAGAAGAACGACACAAACACGACCAAAATGCATCAGATTCAAAAGAACTGGCTGCTGATAGTGAGGAAAAGGAAGTAGAGGGAAGTGCCACGTTGTTTGTCTTCAGATTCAAAGGTGACGATGACAGTCATTACAGACTTTGCTGTAGTTGCAGCTCGTGTTCTGTTTTTTTTTTTTCCAATAGTAGCACTGCTGCTCCAATCTGAAAATCTTAGGGACGTCAGATAAATTGAAATACAACACATCCAAAGTTTTTCCTTTTTAGCTGTATCACTGATAAATGATTTGCTAATAAATCAATAATTTGCAAAAATAACAGCTTGCTGTTTTCTTTTAAATCAAAAAGTGAAGCAGCGTTTGTTAAGTTTGAGGAGCTGCATAGGCGATGTCAATGCACAGTTGATGCTTCGTGCTGTTGCTCAAAGCGTTTTATATTTAAAGTGTGCAAATTTAGTTTTCGGGGCAAATGTTGAGTCACACCAAGAGCAGTAGACACAATACGTAGCGTTGCTTTCTTCGCCACATCTCAGCCATGATTACTGTGCGAGCCATTTCTGTCGTAAAAAGTAGGTCTGTCTTTTGTCAGCATGAGCTCACCTGCTGGTTCCTCATCTAAAGCGTCCTCATCAGATGTTTGCGACTCCACTCTGACTCACTAGATGTAGACTTTGGTTACACGCCACCGTTTCTTAAACCCTTTCACGATCGTGTGTTACCGTTTTCAAAATTCCCTTAGCAACAGGAAACAACTTCAACTTGTGAGCAGCAACCTACACGCTAAAAACTGGCAACTTTTGCCAAAAATGTGGACCATGCAATAAGGCAGTCCTGCTTCTGGTATGTGAATTATCCATTTTAATAACAGTGCTTGTGACACTGAATGCAAATATTCTGCAGAAACAGTCCCCTCGACTTTATTTTGCAGGGGCGTACTGTTGCTGCATGGTTGTCTTAACGGCGCTGTGATTGGTTTAAAGAAATACAAGAGCATTAATAATAATAATGAGGTGCAGCCGGACCGTTCTGCAGTGCTGACACAGTGATGTGGAAACAGGTCTGAGGATTAGGAATGTGATGCCACAGAACAGGAGGATCTGAATGAGCTCTCCTTTAGAAAAATGAATCGATAGTTTTGTTAGGATGACGGGAGCCTTGCGTTTGCTCTCCACTCTTATCACCCCAATTCTTGCTCCCGACTGGTATATGATGTATATGGTGATTGATAAAAACAAACAAAAACACAGAAACAGGGGTGTATTTGCAAGTCTCCAAAAACTACAACTAAATAGCCGCCCCCTCTAAAACAACACACCATCGAGCGCCGCTATAGTTCACCGGGTTGAGCTGGCGTCCCATGTACAGGGTTACTGTCCTGATGTGGAGGTCATGGGTTCGAATCCCGCTCATGGCCCTTTCCAACATGTCCTCCCCCCATTCTTCTCCCCTACTTTCCTGTCTCTTTCTCACTGCACTGTCAAATAAAGGCACAAAGGCCAAAAAAATAACTTTACAAAAAAAACAACACACCATCATGATAAAATGATAACTAGCAGAAAGTCTCCGCTACACTAACAGAGCATATGGAGATACTTGACAGGCACCCATAGGCGCTGGGAGGTTACAGTGGAAATATGGATGTACAACTGTAACCTGCTGTGATTCTTATTTTACACTCCTGCAGCGCTACTTGTTGGCATTACAGGGGAAGAGTTAACCAAAAATGTAATTAATAAACGAGTCAGAGGAATTTCAACCAGGTTTTTTGTTTTGTTTTGTTTTGTTTCTTTGGTCAAAGTTGGCCAGTGCAGAAGTGTGAAAACTTTGAATCAGTTCTCACTTCGTCTAGTGCACAGTCCTGATACAACGGATCATAGTGACTCCTGATTATTCAACGATGATGGAACAGAACGGGAAATCTCAAAACAGCTTCATTAAAATGGCTTACATGTAACAGGAGGTTGTCTTCTTGGACAAATTCCAGGCAAACACAGACAAATGGCTGCGTGTGATTATGCTGCTGGCATCTCCTCTCACAGGCCTCATTAACAACGTAAACACCTCATGACATGAATCATTCAGGAAACTTTATCCTGCGTGACGGTTCGGATTTGATATTTACAATAACTAGCGCTGCCCTTTGTTTTGTGTTGCTGGACTTTCATAGTCAGTGGCATTCCAGTTTGAAGCATTAATAAGCGCATTGTCTGTTTGAGTTTTATTTTTTTTTACCCTCTCGGCATTGAGTGATTCACCGTCACATTATTTGAAAGAAAGAAAAGAAAGAAAAAAAAAACCTTTATTAGAGAATGATGACCTGCACTTTAGGCTGTGAGAGAGGAACATCAGAGCTCACGGCGCTCACCAATTTAAAACACAAAAGAAATAACAAACACAAAGACGAGAAAGTGATGATGCTGATGATTCATATCGTCCCTGTTTCCTATCCAGCTGGGATAATGGAGACACCGAGAAGATGAGTCCGTGGGATATGGAGCCCATTCCCGATGACGGTAGAGGTCTAAAATACACCCACACTACAGCGCACACATATTTACTCAAATGCAATATCTTTACAGTTGCGGTATTTTACAGTTTTGACAGATTTTCCCTCATCTGCAGCCACGTTCCCCGAGGAGTTGGGCATGAGCGTCCCGCTGGTAGAAGCGGAGCAGAAAGAGCTGCTGTACGTACCCCTGGATGGAGAATGGGGCTGCCGCACACGTGCAGAGGAGTGCGAACGCATCATCAAAGCCATCGACCAGCTCTGCACGCTCGGTACGACGTCAGCGAAGCCCCCCCGCCCCGCCAAAACAACGGCCCATTATTGTCACGTAGGCACGGATGTGAAGTTGAGCCACGAGGGCTGATTTCTCGTAAACGAGCAGCGGCGTGACTCCTCACATGAGTCACCTCTCTGAGCTCATCAGCATGAGGCCGCCAGCGCCGCGGATCAGATGTTGAAGGGAATAAGCCGCGAACACATTGTAATAAATATTGAGGTGCTTGCTTGGATTCCTGTTAAATGATGTAATGTCACATCATGCATGGACTTTGCATTACTGCAATACTCCCCCCCAGTGGAGGAACGCTGGATGGAGGGCGCCCCCTACTGACAGTTTGGGGATGGAACACACACACACACACACACATATTCACCCACAGCCAGCACACTTAATCCTTGTAGATGTTCTCTTCTGTTACTCCTACGCTTCATGCTGCAGGATTTATATTAACTCTTGTTGGTGCATCTAAATTGAAATAACGGAATTGAAAACGGGATAAAGGTGTGAGTTACTACAGCTGTTATAATGAGTGATGTACACACAGTGTGTCTTTTACTTGAATAGAGTCAAAGATGCCCTTCTTTTTTTAAATACCTCTCATAATCCTTAACCCTATGACCCGGTTCTATTTTTAGGGTAGTTTTCCTGCCTTTACTTTAGCGCTCTTTTCATGGTTATTATAAGGGTTGGACATACAGGACATATGTGTTTAGATTTTTTCCTCCAACACTCTCTTCTATCCACATCTTCCATCATTTGATATAACAAGCACCCAGACATTCAGTGTTTCATATTGTTAAATTGTACAAGTATGTCACTGTTGTCAAATTTGGACAAAAAAAAAAATTGTAAGATTATGTTTGGTGTTTCAAATTCACCTAACAAGTCTAAGTATTGGGGTTACGACCTTCTAGTGTTATTTATGATGGGGAAATTATTAGAGTAATTTACATAACAATGATTTAAACCCTACAATAAACTAAAATACATAAAAATGCTGAGACCTACATTATTATTTAATTATGGCGATTAACCAAGGTAATTTAACATTACAGCTAAACCATTAAATGGTGGCAGGGGAGATGACTTTTCATAATTGTGTAGGAGCGATTGTCTGGAGATATCAGAACTATGATGGTGGGATTATGTATGACTTAGAAATTGGGAAAAATACACGTGTAGTGCCCAGCATACGTAAATACTGTTATTTTATTCACTGAAATGTACATCTGATGTGCACCACTATTAATCCTCCCTTCTTGTGTGTTTGTCTGTCATCTCCCCCCTCAGATGTGGCAGCACCGTTCGCCTTCCCGGTGGACCTCCAAGCTTACCCCACATACTGCACAGTGGTGGCCTACGTCACCGACCTCAGCACGATACGCCAAAGGCTGGTGAACCGCTTCTACAGGTACGCAGCCTCAGGTTGTGTCAGAAAAAAATAAACAGCATGTGAAAGAGAAACGCTTTACCGCGGTTTTGTTCTCCTTTCAGACGGCTTTCCTCTCTGATGTGGGAGGTCCGTTACATAGAACACAACGCCCAGACGTTCAACGAGCCCGGTTCGTTCATCGTCACCACCGCCAAGTTCGTCTCTGACCTCATGCTGCAGTTCATCAAGTGAGTATCTCGTGTCACCGTCTTGTCTGTGTGTTTTTTTTTATATATAATGTGAACTACTCAATGTTTTTTAAACATAAACATCAAAAATATATCGTGACCTTTCCTTGTTTTTTTGAAAGAAATGACTCATCAAATGCTTCAGATTTAACTGAAAGTTGCAACTGTGGCATTTTAAATAAGCATCTGATATGTAGATTTGTTAAAATATTATGTTTCATTTTAAATCTCCCCGAAACATTTTCATCGTCCTGACTCAGATCGTGGAGTAATTTTATCCTCTTGTCTCCTCTATTTCTTCCTCAGGGACCAAAGTCTGACAGACCTCATGCCTCTCTACAAAACCATGAAGAAAGCAACGTTCTCTGACTCTGAAGATGAGGTGCGTTTGCATGTACAGCACACACATTTATAATACAGACAATTGGTGCTCTTGCTAGTCGCTACCAGAAGTACTAGTCAGTTAAAGTAATTATCAGTATTTTATCAACGCACAACAGCAGTTAGTGTCTGTGATGTTAGAAGATGTTCGCAGCCTCTTTGCCTCCACACACTAATGCTCGACTGTTGGAAAGCAGCAATGTGAAAATGAGACAGAATGACATCTTAAAAACCCAGTGCGTTATAGTTTAAGCATTTAAAACATCTTATTTTACAGAAAATTAAAACAAAGCTGCATGTAGGTTGAAATAACTGGCATTTACCGGCTCCACTGGAACAACACGTGACCACAAACACATTCAGGACAGAAAGAAGGCTGCAGACTTCTGCAACACCAAATCATTTCGATGGTTTTCTGTGTGTTTTCTTACTTTCAGACTTATCGGCCAGTTTTTATGACGGACTGGGAAATTAGTCGTCAGCCACATTTCTAGTTTCTAGTGCAATTTATTATACAATTACCCAGGAGAGCACCATTACCAGACGTATCAAAAATGGTTATTGTCGCTTTCACTTTAGTGGATCAAATATGTGCGTGTGCTTTCTTTGTCCTTGAAAGTGGACTGAAGACACGCACAAGGCTCTAGTCATACTAAAGGTCCTCACCAGTCTGCGGCCTCTCATATCGAGCACAGTGAGGCGGACGTAACACGGGATTTCTGGAGAATTTAGAGCTTTCCGATGTGTCGACAGAAAGAAAATTAAAGCTCCTCCATAGTCCTGCAGTCACTGTCAATTACAGCCTTTTTAATGATGAGTTATTAAAGTGTGGATGACCAAGAATCTCCTCATAAGGTCTCGACTCGCAGATTTGAATGGAAAAAGAAATTAACGTGTATCTTTGCATATACGTCCGCAAAATGTACGACTCAATGCATCAAGCTAAATTTGCTAATCAAGAAGCAATAAATCTGTTTTGTAAATGATGGTACTTACAGTCAGATTTGTGCTCCAAACTAACCTTTTACATTTGAAGTCGGCACAGCAACTCAGGCACATGTGTGAAAAGAGTGAAATAAGGCATCCAAGAGATTTCATCTAGCTGGGCAGGCTGCCCAGAAAAACACACAGACAAACCTGTTAAATGTCAGATTCACCGATGCAACCAAAGAAAACGTTTAGTCGCACTTGACAGATCGTGTGCTCGGAGCCCTGTAGTTAATGCAGGTTGGAAGCTCAAAGACTCCATTATACATGAAACCATAAGTTACACCTGTAAGGCAGCGAAATGTTGCCGCGGAACAGCCTGTGATACATGAGCCCGGTGGAGAAATCTGTGTTATTCATTTTCTCCTTTTTCCTGTAGGATGATGAGGAAGACGATGAAGATACGAATACTCCGGGAACATCCACGCGAAACCACAAGGTAACACAGCGAACACAGACTGCATTCCCATTTACTAGGGGTTGAACAGTATGAGTTTGTTGTTCAGTGCCACTAATTAAGCTAGTAATCAAGGAGTATGACGTGGAGATGATCGGCTTTCAGCTTGTTGTGTTTAGGATTGTTGATTTGTGGATATTTACATACAAAATCAACCAAACCTGGAAAAGTTCCCCCATGACCTCCTCAGAACCAGCTGATTCTTACAATAGGTTTTGTATATTTAATGAGGCCATGTAAAGTTTTACCTTCATATTGTGACTATTTCCATTTCTGAAGCTCTTTTCTTTTTTATTTGGAACCTATATGTGTTTGCAATCACTGTAAAAATCTTGGTGTTGAAATTGAAATTCCACCTCAAAGCTGAGTTGAGGCACTTCAGATGACGTCAGCCACAGATGTGCATCTTAGCGACAACCTCAGCTTGTCTACAGACGATAGTTTAAATAAATTCCATTTGAATCGGCCCCAGTTACACTCAAAGATGTAACTAAAATATAATTTCAGTGGGAAACTGGTTGTGCTTGTCATTGTAGAAATAGATCATGATTTTCATCGCGGCTTCAGCAGTATCTGCTATGTTCCCTTTAAAACACAGCTTCAGTCATTCATTGTCGCTGCTCCGGTCTGCAAATGATGCCCTCTGTGCCTGTTTGTGGCACATGAGAGGAAACAAACCAGACAAACTCAGAGGTGTCACTTCCCACATTTGAAGTTTGCCTTCTTACCCTGCATCTTAACAAGAGGAGGCTTTTGTCTGTCAGCTACTACAGTGTCTTCTGATTTTTTTTAAATCACAGGGCCGTCGACCCAAGCAGCGCACACTGCGAACACGGCCTCCTTCGTACGACCCTCACGCGTGGAGAGGACGCTGTAAAGAGTTGCTGGATCTCATCTTTCAGTGCGAAGACTCTGAGCCCTTCAGAGAACCTGTGGACCTACAAGAATACCCGGTACCTATGCAACACAACTCCCACTTTTTTTTATAATTGAATGTGGTGCAAACACCTCCTCAGAAACAAACTGAACTCTTGCGGAGTTAATCTGAGTTTAGCTCATTGTACATTTCCATTAGGCTGGCATTAATTTGCATTTTCCGTTACCTTTTCGAGTCTTTATGTACATTCAGTTTGGGATATAAGTGGCAACAATTCAATTACACCAGGAATGAGGCAGAGTGATTGTTTGGTGTGAAGAACAGGCCTCTTCATTCAGCATCTGTAATGAAGACCAAATAGATGCATCAGTTGTGAGGGAAAAACTGCGCGAACACACTCACAGCCCCGGTGGCCTTGAGGTCTCTGTTAAAAAGAGGAATTCCTTTGCTGTTGGTTCAGTTTCTTTCCAGTGCACTTCATGTAAAACCCCAGATCTCTCACTTCTTTGCCCCTCTCTTACTCTCCCTCTCCTCGACTCCTTATGCTGCTCTCGTCTTTTAAGACCTTTAAATGAATTATCCCAACCTGCTTCTGCTTTTTCCAAGGACTACCTGCAAATAGTTGACTCACCGATGGACTTTGGCACTGTTCTCAACACGCTGACGGAAGGAAAGTATCAGTCTCCCATCGAGCTCTGCAAAGACGTCCGGCTCATTTTTAGCAATTCCAAAGCTTACACTCCCAGCAAGAAGTCTCGGGTGAGAGCCACAGTCGCATCTCATATTACAATTAAGCCAGTGCTTTTTTTTTTCAACAGTTACCTCCTTTTTTTTTTAATGTAGAACTGCTGTTTCAGTATTTTTTTTTCTTGTGTCTCCAGATATACAGTATGAGTCTGAGGCTTTCTGCACTGTTTGAGGAGCACGTCAGCTCCATCCTGGCCGACTACAAAGCCATCCACGGCCTGACAGATAAACTGACCAAACAGGGCTCGGACAGACAGACGCGACACACTACAGACAGACAGACACGGCACGCGATGAAGAGGAGGAGGAGGAGGAGCGAGTCTCCAGCCAGCAGCACTGCATCCAGGTAGAAGACATGACCTTTTACATTGAGTGGCTCAGTTAAAGAAAGGTAGTACATTTTTAACTGTAATTCCTTCTCCTTTCTCCTCGTGCCTCCAGTCCAGAGAGGAAGAGACGAGTATCATCCAGGGTGACTGGAAAGAAGGAGCCCTCACCGCCTCCAGCACGACCGCCCTCTTTACGACAGAGCATCCCCCTGAAACAGCCGCCTCAGCTGGTCAACGGCAAAGCGGACGCACCGACTCCGGGGCGAACACGCAGCGGCGCGCGCCATTCAACGCACTCTCCTCCCTCCTCATCGTCCTCGCATAGCGTCACCAACAACACACCGAGCACAGCAGGTGAGCTCACGATGACAGAGGTTGTAAATTTAAAAGTGAAGTTTACGAAATTGGATTTTTTTCTTTCTGCGATTTAGATAAGAGGATTGACCTGCATCTATGTGTGTGTTTCAAATTCATGGATCAGACGTGGCCACTGAACAGGCCATATTAGTGTGGCATTGTGTAGTTTACAGAGCACTTCCTGTTTTTGTTTGCTTCATACGGAGAGGAAATACAACTACACTGGTTCAGCGCATTGACCAGAAACTCTAGGAAGGCTATCTTTAAAAGAACATCTGATACTCAACTTTTTAGCCTGGCTTTTATCTAACGTGTTTGTTTTAATACGACTTGTACATTAACAGTCATTTCCAATCCCTTGTTTTACTATTATTCTTGTAATTTTATATCCTTTTTTCAAATTAAACTTGCTCTTTTGAACTCTTTCTAAGTTCAGCACTTGGAGTTCTACGTAATGTCTGTTCCATGTAAATAAAGTTTGTAAATAAAGTCTTTTTCGTATCCCTTTGCCGTCATCAGAGTCCACTCGCTCGTTGCGGACTCATAACTCCGTGTCGGCCGCGGCGCCACCAGCTCCTGAGAAGGTGACGCCGTCCCAGCCCACAGAGTTTAGCGGTGGAAGCACTCGTCGGAAACTCAGGACGCCTGTGCGACACACACCCGGTAAGGGACACCGTCACAGAGAAGGGGCCATAAATGCTTGAAGTCATGATTAAAGTCAGAAAATAACTGTTTAAAGAGCCCGTATGATGCTTTTTGAGTTTGTTATGAAGCTGCTTTTCTCTGCTTGTAAAAGGTCTGCAAAAGTCTGCAGCAAAGAGTCATTTTCTCCCGCTGACAGCACTAAGCCTTGCCTGCCCCAAACACCCCATTTCAAGTCCGGGCTTTTCTTCTGTTACTTATCTACATCACCATGTCACACATTTGCATAACACCGGACTAGTGGCTAGTTTGGCCCTTGATCAGTGCTTTCTTGAAGTCTGCCATTATTTCCATGCTAGAGCCACTTCTCTCTCAGACAGAGATCTAGAGAGCAATCAGAGCAGAGTGGCCTTGAGTGTTTCAGACAGACGATGAAAAGAGGTGCTGCAGCGAAAAATATGAGAATAATAATGTTTTTTGAACATTAAAGCATGTAAACCTACTCTAGAAACCATTAAATGTGCATAATATGGATTCTTTAATGTCACCTGCCTGATAATTACCTTTATTTTCCTCCTCTCGTTTTGTCCTGTCTCTCCTTTTCCCTCTCAGGCTCTCCTGTCATTCCTTCATCTCAGAGCACAGTCCACCTGAACGGCCACAGCAGTCACGTAACGCTGGGCGTCGGGCGACGGGGGCGCAAGTCCAGGACGGAGCCACCGGTGAGTCCTCCGGAAGTCACCACTCCAGCGAGCCCCTCCAGACCCAGAGGTCGACCGCCCGGCAAGAAGAGAGGCAGGAAGAGCAAGCAGGAGCTGGAGGAGATGAGGAGGAGCGGCAACCGCAGGAGCTCCACACCTGACGACGACCTCGACCAATCCACGGGCGACGAAGGCGGCACGTCTTCCGCGCAGGAAACCTCTGTGCTGTCAGACTCTGGCACAGCGCCGAGACGGCGAGGCCGGCCCCGGTTGGTAAGGACTGAGGAACCCCCACCTGCCGAGTCACCGGAGCCGTCGCCGCTGAGGAGGAGCAGCAGGAGAGCCAACGAGGAGGTGACACCTCCTCAGGCTGCTTCTCAGCGACCGGCTCGGAAGGAGTCTCCGAAGGAGGAAGACGGGGCAGGAGGGTCCATGCGCACACGTAACCAGGGGCGACGGTCGGCCTGGTACATGGAGGAGGACTCTGAGGAGGAGCAGAGGCAGCTGCTGTTCGAGGACTCATCAATAACCTTTGGCACCTCCTCAAAGGGTCGCGTCCGCAAACTGACAGAAAAGGCCAAAGCCAACCTCATCGGCTGGTAACAGAGCGGACACACGGGCTGGCTGCTCCCAGGGACGAGAAATCCGCCGGAGATTTCTGAGCTTAGGCGCCGGAGGAGTCGCGGGGAGCTGAGGAGGTCCTGCATGTATGCATCTGCGTGTGTTGGTGATGCCGGTGTGGCTGCTGCTATCTGAAGCTGTGGCTACGGAGGGAAACCTGTGCTGTCACCTTCCTCTCTGCCCAGTAAGCACATCAGCACCGACGGCCCCCTTGTTCTAACGCCTCCTACGTTATTGATCCATGTTGGATCCCACAGGAGCGCGCGGAGTCTTACGCTGGCGGTGTTGGGACTCACTCCTGTCCAGCGAACCACTCTTAACCTCCGTCTGACCTTAAACACAGCTGGGCAAAGACTTTTAGTACTTGAAAAAAAAAAAACAACAACGTGAGGAGACCGGATGTATCTTTATCTCGCTATTTTTGACGACTTTTCGAGTGTCGCCCACGGAGCTGAACCTGTCGGGTCGGTGACGGACTACAGACCGCTTGCCGGCCTGACAAACGTCCTATAACCCCCCCCCTCACTTCTTCTTCATTGTCCCTGCTCTTTTTTTATACAACCCGCTCTCTGCTTTTTCTAAGATTTGTACGTGATGATCGGCTCTCTGTTTTTTGGAAGTCTTACACATCGGCTGACCTGAGCGTGTCTGTCTGCGCTAAAATACCAAATGGCGTACCTTTGTAGGTACTGTAGATCTGTAGGTTTTGTTTACTATTGATGTGTGTGGGTGTTTTTTTTTTTTTCTTTTCTTTTCTTTTTTTTTTTTGCATGTCAGTTAGATTTTTTTTTTTTTCTTCCTGAAGCTGTTTTTACTGTGAGGAGGAGAAACAGGATGCATGGGTGAAAGGGGTCATTTATGTCGATGTAGATCATGTTTTAATGCGTCCTCAACATTAGCAATACCTTGTGCCTTTATGTCTTCAGTGTGTGTGTGCGCGCGTGCATGTGTGTGTGGCCTCTGCCCTGCAAAGTACATGTGCCTGTCGGTGTGTGTGTGAGTAATTGAAGGTGTGCGTGTGTTTTTTTATAACACAACTGAGCGTGTCATTCACTTTCGGCGTACAAACAGTGGCATACAGTTTGATCGTTGTGAAACCTCTCAAAGAAATGTATTTATAGCAGTGGAAAAAAAAAAGAATTTACTGTCGTTGTAAACATACCATTATCCATGTCGATATATTATCCTATAACCAACCTATCGTCAGTTTATACCTAAGGTACGGGGGAGAGAGCGGAGCTTTGGGGCGACTAGCTTTCGAGATGCACTTACCACAGAACCGGTTATCAATGCAGTCTTAGGGAGTAACCATGTGTATTTTAAAACTGTTAACATATAAAAATGAACTTTTAAAATGTTTCTATGGCGACTGCACACACACACACACACACACACACTCACACATACACACAGTTCTGTCTCGCATGTTCTAGCACTTTCTCATGCCTGAAGCCAACAGGACGGATCAGACCGAATTTGAAAGCAAACAAACCAGAGAGCGAAACAAGTCATATATTCATCATTCTGATTGTGTGCCTTTGCTACTCTGGCATATTGATATCCACGGTTTTTTCTCCTTCTTGGGGCCTTGTTTGTTTTTGTTTGTTTGGGATTTTTTTTTTTTTGTGCCGGGACTTCAGGGACTGGACTGGACCTGACAGGCTTGTACGAGAATAGACTTGACAGGAGGAGACAAACATATTATGTCACTCTTTGTACACACAACACAAAATGGACTGAGTTTCTAAAGATTCGCAGTTTTTTCGACTTTTTTTGTTTCCTGTTTTCGCCCTCCAGCACAGAGCCAAAATCTTGCACCTTGCGTTGTGGGGTCGACTGGGGAGAACTGGACGGTAGCATCTATATACACCTTCCATCAGACACATATTACTAAACATATATCCCATCTGTGCATCATTGTTTTTTGTTTTTTTTGTCTTTCTTGTTGTTATGTCAATGCCAAATTCTGTCTTTGGGCACTGAAGTTTTAGACCATGGCTTTTTGAATGTGTTAATTTTCTAAAGAGGTTTTATTGTCTCCATAGTGAGTGCGTTGAGCTCTTTTTGCATATTACGTGTCAACTGTTTTCTGTCTGTGTCCCTGCCATACAGGAGGATGTAACAGAGGCTAGATCTGTGGAGATGGAATGATGTTTGACGCTCTGCCACACGTATTTAAGGAGACCATTTACACAAACGTTGCTGTCGGTTAGTTTCACGAAAGCCTTGTTTACATTGTGTGTGTATATGAAGGGTTTTGTTCCGATTGCTGACACCTTCCTCCACAAGTGACACAAATGAAAGTACATTTTATTGTTGAGATTTTAAGGTGATGATCTTTGCCCGTAAAAACACACCGATCAGCTTCAATATATTGATCGTCTCGTTACGGTGCAGTGTTCTGCTGGCAACGCTTTAGGTCCTGCGTTCACGTGGATGTTGCTTAGACTTGAACAACCCACCTAAACATTGTTGCACACACCCATCATGATAGGACAGTGCTCCCTGCCGGACCTCAAACTGATCGAGGAACCTGACAAAGAGCCCAAGGCATTGATGCGGCCTCTAGATTTACTGTATCCCAATCCGATTAAGCCCTGATTCACAATCTACAGGACCTTAAAGGACCTGCTGGCAACCGGAGCTACAACAAATGTATTGATTAGTTGTCAACTCTTAGATTAACTGCCAGCTAATCTGACAACCAATTACTCTGTATGAGTATTTCTTTTAAGAAAAGAAGTTATAAATACTCCAATACTGTTAAAGGTGAATATTTTCTTACTTTCTCCATCCTGTTCTTCCCTTTTGAACATTTTCTTACATTCCTCCTCTTTGACAGGAAACTGAAATCTTTCATTTGTAGACAAAACAAGACGTTTGTCATCTTGGACTCTAAGAAACCCGAATCGACATTTTTCGATATTTTATGGATATTTAACTGACCAAACAACTATTTGATTAATTTTTTATTCCTGTGCATGTACAGGTTACTTTAATAATCAAAATTTTACATAAGAAATATGTAATGTTTTAAAGAAAAATGAGAAAAAAATGTACAGCTGAAGCTGCAACATTTAATTGATTGTCAACGACTGAACTGGTTTCTAACTGCTTGTATAATTAAGTAATTGATTAATTAATGGGTGGAGGATGTCCTCTTGGTCTTGGGGAAACACTGATCGACATTTTTCACTATTTTCTGACATTTTATAGACCA